ACGTGCTTCATCGTCAAGAACTGGCATAAATATCTAGCAACGAAACAATCACTATATGTTAAAAAAAGCGAATACAAACAAATGCATTTTCAAAATTTAATGAGATAGGGACATTAAATAACCTTCTGGCATGCACTGACATTCAGCATATACACCACGCCATCATTCATCAACTTGTTACGAATTTGTCTGGTCTTCATGTTAGCGCGTACCACTTTCTGCACCATGTTTTAATTAAGATGAATTGACATGGTATAATATAAATAACTAGGTTATGAAAAAATAATTTAACATTACGGCTCTTACCGAAAACATATTTGGCAAATACCACACATTTGGCTCTTTCACATCATGTTTTTCAGACATTGTTAGTGCCCTCGCACACAAATCCACCACCTACCATCCAACAATCAAACACAAAATCCTCGTAAATTGTAACATAAATAGTGCACAATTCATACGAAAGTCGTAGTAGTATAGTACTTACGGATGAGCAAACCCAGCTACTCTTGCTAATGACCGAACTCAAATAATTTCGTTGCACGTTTTCAGAAAAAAAAAGTTAACAACGGTCAAACTGCAAAAATCAAAATAACAGAAATGTCAATTGTGATTTGCAACGTACAGGTCGACCTGTTCACAGTCAAGGTCGACCTTATTGGATAAACGGTCGACCTCGTTAACTAAACGGTCGACCACACGTACTAAAAAAAATTCTCTTACTTGTCCCAATTCGCGTCCCCAGCCTTCTCTTTAGTAACAACATAAATTCAACTGGATTTTGAAGATTTTTGGTGAATCCTTCTAGGCCCTCCACTTTCATGACCTACAAATCATAGTTAAAATTAAAGTCACATATGAACACAAACACACATAATAGATGAATATGTAACGTAAACTTACTCCGTGCTTTTTGAAAGGACTCTTAGATTCATCTTCGTCGCTATCAGCACTAAATAATCCTTTTCTTACAAAATGATCCTTCCGTGGAGTGGTCTAGGAGTCACTTTCATATCGAGGTATCTTGTACTTAGGAGAGGAACCCTTGCTTCCATTCGTTGTTGCACTCTGTCAAACATATAAACAAAAAAAATTAGCACTAGTGATAGTAATACTAATATCTTCAATCACATATGAATATACTTGTCTACCTTTAAATTGTGCTCTTTCAATAAATCGTCTATACTCTGGTAGCAATTTGCAGAGTCATCATGGTCTTCCTCCTCTTTATCAAGTCAAATTTCTTTCCCGTACCATCTCTTCCTCCATTCTCCATTCGTTCTGCACTTATATCTTTGATAGCACCTTCTAGCCTCTCAAACCCATCATGCATCATCCCAATCATATCTGTCAATCGAACTGACAATTGCTCCACTTTATCACGAATGGACTTCTGAAAGTCATTGACTTGTTTTTGACACACCACCAGCTGCTCTTGTGTGGCTTTCAACACTTTCATGATTTCACCCAAATCTTGATGCAGTCTCTCATCATGTGTCATCGTCTAAACCATTTAAAGAAAAATTCAAATCATAATTTAACTTCAAATTTCTACAATTGACCAAAAAACAGAGACGAGGTGGACTTGACAAATTATTAGGTCGACCTAAAAGACAAATTGTGACTACCACAACCTTTAAGGTCGACCTATCCAGTAGGAAAAGAACAATTAACCAACAAAAGCAAGTGCAATGTTAAACCGAAAAACGGATAGGTCGACCAGATAGCTTGAGCGGCCGACCTTTTGAAGCACAACATAGTCTTACAAACAAAGCTAAAGTCGACATTCAGGTTGAACAACCAAAACAAACAGAAACGGTTGACCTTGAAACACATTAGGTCGACCTATTGGGTTGATCGTCGTTACCTCGCAAATACAGATGTCCAAGTGTTGTGCCCTAAATTCAATTCCAAAGAATTGTCTCGTCAGGTCGACCGAATGTTATTCTGCACGCAACAATATATCAAATTAGACGGTGGAAATCACGCAGTAGAGAAGATGACGGCGAATGCTACATTAGGTCTTCCTCACCTTCGACGTGGTTGACCACTTTGAACACGTACAACAGTACCGCGAACAATCTTCTTCACAAAGGCTCTAAATAAATAAATAAACCTAATTCAGACTTTTGGTAGCGTTGAAGGGGACTTATATTCGTATTTATAGAGATTTAGGACGTGAATGTGTCGACCCAATTCATTTTCTTGTCCAATTGTGGAACCTTTTTGGTGTTGGAATCTTTATCCAATACGGATAGGGTACGAATGCGGTCGACCTGATAGGTGCACAAGGGTCGGCCTATGAGGTATTTGGGTTGACCTTTCATTCTGTTATACCACCAAAAAGGTCGACCATTTTATGTAGACGGTCGACCGCGTCTCTGAACCTCACATAACTGAATTAGTCAATTCGGTTGACCGCCTTTAGGATTAGGTCGACCGAAAAGTCCATGTCACGGTGACATGCATGTCACGGTAGCAAAATCCTATGATTTAAGTTTCGTAGAAAGAAAACGTGTTAGATTATTGACTTAATAGTGAGCTTATCTGAATTTTTTTCATCCATATACTTAAACTTTATATCATTTAAAAAAGTATTATATTATTAATAAAAGGGAACATATAGGATACAAAACCCCTATATGCAAAACCCTGGAAAACCACATTTGCATCCTTCCAATACCAGGTAGATATAATGCCCCAAGATAGATGCAAGGACACGGATGGGCTGACTGGTAATTTCCATGCCCCTTTGTATATTTTTGCTGGTAATAGTGATATGATGACCTAAAAAGAATTTTGCTCCAAAAAATATCAATTTCGATATCCTCATATAGAGCACAAAAAATTTTGATTTTTCTTTACAATTTTGTTGAAATCCGATGTAAAATAAATACCCTATGGACCATTGAATTTTCACTAGATATTTGAAAATATCTTTAGCAGCCGTCTAAATATTCGCGCTAAAGAAGTGGAAACACACATGACACAACATACATTGCAAGACTGACCTACAGACAAAAATACCCATCCATGGATAGGGGTCATTAGATCACAATCCAACTAACCTCACCCATTAATGAGTGATTTTGCAGGCCTTTTACCAGTGTTATTAAGACCAGACCGAGCCGGCCGGACTGCTAAAGCCGCCACCTGACCGCAAAACCAGCTCGGGCCAGTCATTTAGCCGCTACGATTTCATGGAGCGGCCGAGGCGGTTAACCACTCGAGCCGCTCGAACCGGTCGCTCAGTTTTCCCCTTCAGACCGTTCTATTTAATAAAAAAAATTGAAAAAGAAAATTGAAGCTTGAAAACCAAAGACAACATCTTGGGGCTAGGTAAGAAACCTAACTCTAATTCAGTTTTCGTCTTCGACTCTTCGTGAACAGAGGGAGAAGAGCAGCGCCAGACCCTGCCGCCGTCAACACTTCCCGTCTTGGCTTCCCATCGGCATCGTCTCTATCCCCAGTCAGCGTAGCAGCTCCCAGCTCGCCATCACCGGTCTCCGTTCCCGTCCCCTCTTCCAGTAGCAACTCCTCCGCTCTGTCGTCACTTCCTGTCCCGATGCTTCCCGTTGCCATCCCCAATCCATGTAGCCGCTCCCCGCTCGCATGTTTTGAAATTGTTGAGATTTAAGAGTGTAATTTACTTATTTAATCATGGTTTACCATGATTAAGAGGTGTCCACTATTTATACTGATTGTTTATTAGGTACCGGTTTTCTCACGGTTTTTAAACGGTTTAATATCGGTTGGACCGTTAAAGACCGAGATGTTCACATTATCGAGTCATACTCCGGTTCGCTTTTGACAACATTGCCTTTTACCCCGAATTTCGTATTGGAGCCTCTCTATTAACAAAATAACATAATATCGACGTGTTGTCCACACTCTCAATATCCAATTCCTAAAAATTAAATGCTCTCATTCACTTGCTCCCACTCTAGATCTGATTACTAAACACCCGAATGAAAAGAGCCCTATATTCGTATGATTGGTAAAGCAAACTCTCGCTGCCTAGCTGGCTGGCACGATAAATCCATGTCAATTAGGCAAAACTGAATAATTTCTAATAATAATTATCATCCTCAATCATATGTTAAATAAAAAATAATTAAAATGAATAGATGAGTGTAAAGGCGAGAATCATATGGTTCATGACTCGTGGTTTTTTCTTTGTGGAGGAAAACAGGGTGCTGGCAGCCAATCTGGAAGAGTCCACACCACACCCACACGGAATTGACAAACCAAACTTTGTCAACCACTACCTATTGCCGACTGAATACCGCCTCGCCGCCGCTCTTCCAGTTTACTAGTCAAACTCAAACTCACCCCATCCATTCCGTCATTGGATCCAAGGATACGCGTCCTACGCCTTCCCCGCCCCTTTTCCTCCTTCCTGGCTTCCTGCTCGTATTGGAAAAGGTTAGTTAATAGTAATAACTAATAAGTTATTTTGTATTAATCATAATTTAGTCTTTAAATATATTAAAGGGCTTTAAAAAATAATAAATTACCACCTTTTTTCTTATTTTTAAGATAAAAATATTGTAACCATCAATAATAATTAATGAATTTAGATGTTAATAATGAATATGTTCATAAATTACATGACATAAAATATAATATAATTACCACCTGTCCAAAGAGCAGAGTTCAAGCTACTTCTAATTTAAATTGTTTTTATAAAAAATTATAAAATAGTATTGTAGGTAGGGTAGTTAACGTTGAAATTGTAATTTCAATGTGATTCCGCAACCTTATACCGCTAAATAGCATCTACTGATTTATAATCACAATTTTATATTTTTCTCTGAGTGCACCGCCGATACAGTATGTTTTCAATCCTTTTTTATACTAGAAAAATCGCCTGTCCACTTAAACTTCAATAAAAAAAATTCGATCGCACCATAGATTTGATACGATCCGATTGTAAAACACTACTTTTAAATTTGGTGTTCCTATCTCTTCTTGCAGAAAAAAAAATTTAATAAAAGATAATTCGATTTGGTTCCTTATATTTCCAGAACTTTCTTACAGCAAAAAAAAATTACATATATATCCAGAACTTACGATTCCTATATTCCTACTCACACTTGTTAGATCCTACCCTGTACCTAACAACAATTAACACTATTCTCCATTTCTCCTTTTCCTTGTCTGTTTCATATTTGGTTCCCCATGGGCAATGAGAGAGCCCACCGCCCTTAAAAAACCAACAACCTGATTTCCCGGTTTTCCTCGTCGACCAACCCTATAAAGCTTCCGTCGTGTTTCCCCAACCTTCTTTCTCCTCGGGAAGGAAGGAAAATCAAATAGAAATTGATTTCCTGGCAAGGCTTTGGTGTTTCTTTCTTTTACATTGCTATTTCTCTGTCGACGTACAACTAGAGAAGAGAAGAGAAGAGATGGCGCTGCAGTTGTTCTTCACGGTAGCTTTCTCGGCCGCGCCTTTGACTCTGTACATACCGCCTGTGAGGAGCTTGAATCTGTTTGTCGAGATGATGGAGGAGATGGTGAGGGAGTCCAGGCTCTACACGATCCGCTACTACCCACGAGCCAGGAACGTCTGGTCAAGGCTCTGGAACAGATTCCTCTGCAATTTCAGGTTGAGTTCAACTGCTACTACTACCAGATAGATAGATGATTCCTTTTCCGTATGATTGATACCCAACAGTTCGTTTGTACATTCTCCTCCGCTTCCCTTCTTGGGTTCTGGGTTCCGGTTTTGCCTTTCTTTGTTGGTTGTTGATTTTGAGGGGTTGCGATACTAAGTTGTGTGAGTGATGATGTGCTTTTGTATGAAATCTTGTATACCCTTTTGGAGATAGATGAATGGATCGTTGATTTGTTATGATACATGTATGTATGTTCCTTCTGGTAGCCACAAGTCAATTCCAAAGAAGAAAGAAACACTTGTGGTGCTGAGAAAAGTCTATTTGCTCTTCTTTTTTCTGAAAGTAGTAGTCAATGATCAGCAGTCGAATATAGTTTGTTGTTTGACTGGCAAAGCTTTGTGGTGAATGGAGAACCAGCAAAGCCAGCAATAATACCTGGGTTGTTGCTGAAACTGCGTTTCGGGTCTGAATGAATGTGCTCTTCAAAACTAATTACACCACTACGACAAGTATTATTTGCTCGTGTTTTCTCTAACAGAGATGCAACAAATGAATGAATCAAATGGCCTTGGTTATGAGGCAGGCAATTACAGGGATTATCTATGTGCAAGGTAAAAAAATGGCCCAATGAAGGATGGACGCAAAACAATGATTATTATCTGTCTTTGTCGCATCAGCTGGAGAGTGTGCAAGGCTTCAGAAACCAGAACATATCTAAAGCCGTTTTTGATTCTTTACCATCCACAATGGCGAAACTTCTTCCACCCTTTTCTCGGTTTTCCTGTTTCACAGTCTCCTGCTGCTGCTTCACTTCCTGAAGAATCGACTTCTCCTGCACCATCAAAGCGCAAGCCACATCAGCAACCATAAAAGAAAACCATATATATACATTCATTCAGTGCAGCGGGGGCATCGAATGCAGACCACCACAAGCAAAGCCATCTAATCTTACCAGATAACTAACTAGCTAACACAGAGACCTAGCTATGGCTTCCTTGGGACAGTCCAAGTAGAGTTAGTAGAACTTAGCACATATAAAACTGTCTGCTGGTGCATTACCACGAGTCTGGACTTTGAAGCTCCTGATGGTGTGGTTTTGACTGCTGCATGGCCAGCAGAGAAGCATTGCGGAGAAGGGGGATTCGTCGGGATTTGGAGCAGCCGATGCTGCTCCTCTCCTTTTTGCTGCAGCGGTTTCTTCACCGTTTCTAAGTTCAGCGACGCTGGGACGATGTTCTCTGCATCATCATCAACTCTTCTGCACGTATAATATCACCATGGCACTTGGTCAAGCATATTAATGAGAGCTTCTAACATCCATATCATATATGCTGATGATGTGCGTGGGGCAAGGTAGAGGTTCTTTCTAGTATCTCAATTGATTCCTTTACTAAATCTACATCCAAAACCAGGAATGCAGCAACAGACAACTTACATTTTCCTCCTCAACTTCTTGCCGCTGCTTCCCTTTTCACTCCTCCCTCCCAACTTGTCCTTTCCAACGCCAGGCGGCGGGGTGGTCTTCTCCTTCAAATCTAAAACCCCCAAAACCTCTCTGTGATCCTCCTCCTTCACAGCCGCACTTTCGTCTTGCGCCACCTGGCTTTCGTTAGTTTCCAAGGTCGCATCCTCCTCCTCTTTGTCCCTGCTTCTAATTGCCATCTTCTTCAACTCATTGTAGAATTCAGAAATATGGCCAAGGATATCCTTGCCAGCAAACAAATTCTTTGCTGATAGTGTGGGTTTCAGCTTAGGCTTCTGCTGCTGTAAATTGGCTTCTGATGCAGCATCATCGTCATTGGCGGGCTTCCTCCTTTCAGAGCTTGATTTGAACAGTGCTTTCATGGACTTGATTTGGAAATTCGGAGGGGTTGAGAAATTATGATTATGATTGTGATTAGGGTTCTGGTTCTCACTATCTTGGCTCACACCCATCTCCTCGTCATAGGATGCAATGGAAGACTGATTTGGCCCTCTCCTCTTCGGTTTACCATTCCTGCATACCATCCCCGCAAACAAATAGATGATTCGTATCAAAAAACACAAATCAAGTGAGTTCAACCAGATGGTGAAATGAAATCAAGGAAGTTCAGCGACTGTTACCTTTTCTGGTTCAAGTCACCAAATGGGCTGTGGGTTTTGACGCCAGACCTTGAATGCTGCATCGGGAAAATTCCCAGAAGCAGTCAATTTACAGTAGAACTTCCCAAAAAAGAAACAACCGTTTGTAAATTGGAGCAGCCTTCTAAAACTGGGAAATTAGAGCAGCGAATTGAAACCCAGAAACAGATGGAAACCTTGGACGAAGTAGGAGTGAATTTTAAGAAATCTTCAGCTGACTTGGGATGGTTACAATCTAGATGCCCAGAGGAGAAGGAAAGCAAGAAACAGAATTAAGCAAAAACACCAAATCCCCAGTCAGAAAAGATGGAAACTTTGAAGAGAATTCATGAACTGCAAGCCTGAAGATGAACGCACACGCACCGGGTCTGCAGAACCAGGCGACATCATCGACGCAATCGGCCTCGTCTCGAGAAGTGGCCAAGAAATCAACCCATTTGGGGGCGTTGATGGTCTCGTACAGCTTGTCTTCCTCGTAAACCCACTCGATTTGCTTCCAGTCTATCTTGGCGGGTTCCATCGCCAAAACGGGGGGAAAAAACAATGACAGAAAAATAAAGAGGGAAGAAAGTACAGTGGCTGAGGCTTCTGAAGAATGTAACCGTTAGCTTGCTGTGGAGAATGAAAGAGTAACGTGGGGGAGATGGGGAGAGACGTTGGTGTTCTTGCCTTACTTTGCGGGAGTACTTTCTGACCGTTGGCAGATTCCTGGAGCAACTTTTTTTTTTTTTTTTATATTAGATCCGTAATGTAAGACCATATCCAATTCTCCATAGTTAAAGTGTAGAGTCCAGCATCTAGTAACTAGTAACTAGGGAGGTCCTTAGTCACTTGACTAAGGAGTGCGGATCTGGTGACTAAGGGGGGTGCTTAGTCACTTGACTAAGCCCCTCCTAGCCATTAGATCTGGACACTTCAATCCAATGGTTAAAAAGTGGGAAGGGCTATTTAATTAATAGCAGGGGTAGTTTGGGTATTATGAAAAATTACAAAGTATACAAACCGGATTTACAATCAGTACAAACCATACAAACATACGAACAGTACAAACTAGAGCAACAAAACATACAAACATTACAAACGTATGAACTGTACAAACAATACAAACTAGACTGACAAAAAATACAAACCATACAAACATACGAACAGTACAAACTAGAGCGACAAAACATACAAACATTACAAACGTATGAACTGTACAAACAATACAAACTAGACCGACAAACAATACAAACCATACAAAAGGAAAAAACACCCGGGTTGACTTTTGAGGCTCCATCCCTATATAGAGGGGCTCCTTCCCAAAGTCAACCCGGGTGTTTTTTAGACATACAAACAGTACGAACATGGTGGACAAAAATGACAAACTAGACCGACAATCCATACGAACGGGAAAAAACACCCGGGTTGACTTTGGAGGCTCCATCCCTATATAGAGGGGCTCCTTCCCAAAGTCAACCCGGGTGTTTTTTAGACATAAAAAACATTACGAACATGGTGCACAAAAATAACAAAGTTTACAAACATGGTTAACAAAAATAACAAAGTTTACAAACATTACAAAAAAACCGACAAACGTTACAAAATAACAAAGCATACAAACATTACAAAATATGTCAACAAACATCACAAAATTAGCACTGTCGCCGGGAAATTCTTCTCCGGCGACGATGTTCGCCGGAAAAAAATTTCCGATCAAAATATTTGTCCGACCAAAAAAAACTCTCTCTCTCTCTCTCGGAATAATGGCGCCCAGGCCCTTGAAATAATGGCGCCCTCTCTCTCTCTGGGATGGAATAATGCGCCCAGGAGACCCTTTTGAAATAATGGCGCCCAGGACCCAGGAATTACCTTGGTCGGAGACGGAGGCCGGCGGGAGGCGACCGACGCAAAGGGACGGGCACTGAAACGGGCTGGGTTATTTTTTATTTATTCCTTTTATAATTAAAAGTTAAAAATAAACATGTAATTACTATACTACCCTTCATTAAATTGGATTAATAGGAGCCCTTAGATTTTAATGAGGTGCAAGGGTGGAGATTCACTTAGCCATGTGACTAAGGGGACCCCCCTTAGTCACCTGATCTCAGCCCCTTGACTAAGCCTCTTAGTCTTTGGATTGATCTAATGGTCCAAATAAAGTGTTAAATTATTATTAAATGAAAATGGTAGTTTAGGCATTATAAAAAATTCATTTAATTCCTAATTTCAGTTTTGTTTTATTTTATTTTTTTTCCTTCCTCTCCAACTGTATCCTCCTTTAGTTACTAGTTACAGAGAGAGAGGGAGGAGAGAAGGTGATGTCAACGACAGTGGTGAGAGAGGGGCCGCCGATGAAGATGGGGAGAGAGAAAGAAGACCTCGACGACGTTGATGGAGAGAGGGAAAGGCGTCGCGACGGAGGCGGCAGCATTGGAGAGAGAGAAAGTAGATCTGGACGTCACCGTCGGCAAAACAGAGGTGAGAGAGAGACGATGGTGAAGGAGAGAGAGAGGTAGTGGCGGAGAGAGCTTCGACGACGATGGAGGAGAGAGAAGCGGCGCGGTGATGGAGAGAGAGAGAGAGAGGTAACGACGGTTGTAGAGAGAGTCGGCGGCGGCAGCGGTGTAGAGACATCGTATTTTGTCATCTGAAAGAAGAACAGTGATTTGTAACGCAAGTGTTGTCAGTTTGTATTGTTAGTATTTTTAATGTCAGTATGATTTGTATAGTTTGTATGTTTTGTAATATTAATTTGTATACTTTATATGTATTGATTTGTGATGCAAATCACGTCAGTTTGTATTGTAAGTACTAATACTTTGTACTCTTAGTATGTTTTGCGTACTTTGTATAATATCAACCATTACAAACCAAATTAACAAACATTACAAAACATACAAAGTCAACCAGGTTATTTTTTAGGCATAAAAAACATTACAAACATGGTTGACAAAAAATGACAAACATGGTAGACAAAAATAACAAAACTTACAAACAATACAAAAGAAACCGACAAACATTACAAAATAACAAACATTACAAAAGAAACCGACAAACAGTACAAAGCATACTACACGTACAGAATATCACTACTTACAATACAAATCGGTAAACTTGTGTTACAAACAAATGAATACAAAGTATACAAATCATAACATAAAAGTATACAAACTTGAATAATAAACATTACAAATTACAATATATACAAAAGAGTCATATAAACATTACAAATGTAATAGAGAAAAATGGCAAACAAGAATAATAAACAATACAAACCTAATTGATATAAAGATTACAAAACAGACTTATAAACATGACAAAATAGGTTGACATTACAAATCCAACAATGTCCACGGAAAATCATCAGTTGTCATCTTCGATCGTCATAAAAACCTCCCCGCCGTTGCCAAAAATCTCTCTCTCTCACACATGCTTTTTCCATTCTCAAGGTTGCATGGAAAAATTCAATTCCCAGGTGGGTGGGAACAATTTACCTGCCGCCGAAAATTCAAGCCGAACGTTGCCGGGCGCGCGGAAGGCAGTAGGCCCAGGTTTTGTTTTTATTTTTGTTTTAATTAATTAATAAATAAATAAATCATGTAATTACTATCTTGTCCTTCATTAAATTGGATTAATGTGAGGTATTGGATTTTAATGAGCTTTAATGGCTGAGATTGGCTTAGTCATGTGACTAATGGACTCTCCTTAATCACCTGATCTTGGTTCTAAAGTGTAGTAATTGCTAAGGTGAGGTGGAGGGTGAGGTGGCAATTGCTTGGGATGAAATGCTTCTTTCTAAATTGGCTTGGTATACTAGCAACTTTTTTTAGAAATGCAACATATACATATGAGTATAGGTGTTCGGGCTGGGTTCAATCGGGTTGATGGTTAGTCGGGTTGAGAATTCATTAGGTTGTGGATTCATCGAGTTCGGGTTCAAACGGGTTGCGGGTTAGTCGGGTTTAATCGGGTTGTGAGCAAATCGGATTGCGGGTTCATCGAGTTTTGGGTCGGGGGTTGTGGGCCGATCGGGTTACCGGTTGTTCGGGTCAGCTCATCGAGTTACTTACTCCTTACTCGTTACCAATTTACACATTTTATTCACTAATTTAAATTATTTTTCTCAAATTTTAATCAATTTATTTCTACCTCGTATATATACTTAATTTAAAAATAAAAAAACTTGTAAAAATGTTGAATCAATTTGTATGACTTGCAAACTTGTTATGTAATTAATCATAATTGGTAAAGTACACTAGCTAATAGTAATGGTGATATCAACATTTGCAACTAAAATACACCATTAATTCTTTATTTGATATTTTAGTATTATTAATTATCGAAAAAAATATTTTAGTATTATTTCAGTAGTAATTGGATTAAAGTAGTTTAGTATAACCATGCATATCTGGTATTTGGCGTGTGGTATTTGGCAAAACCAGAGTGGTAAAAAGGAGTTATTTCGAACTAACTCTTTGCCCAAATAACTTCAGTAAACTATTGCCAAACTAGTTATTGTTCGAATTACCCTAAAAATTGAACTATTCAAGATTAACTATCAAATTTAGTAAAATTATTGTGACTTCAATGATAACTTTAAAAGGGATCTCCTGCCGCTAAAGATTTCAAATGACTTCAAGTGAACATATGTTAATAAAAAACTTAGAACCGTCAATACCATTAATACCTTTTACCCTAATCATATACACCATAAACCATTTATACCAGCTTATACCCTATACCCTTTTATACCCTAAACAACGAACCGTCAAAGATTACTTATCAAGTTTAGTATAATTGTTGGCTCATATTGACCCGCCCATTAATTTTTCATTCCAAAGTTCCCACCCAATCCTCCCACTGATTTTCCATTCCAAAGTGACCCGCAACGTGATTAATCAAAATTATCAAACCCGCAACCAGATTGAGTTATTGCAATCGTATGACTTAACATGTCAAGTTTAACCCCCATTTTGAAATAAAAGTTCAACTCGAACACAACTTAAATGTGTCAAAAAAAATTTAGTGTTGTAAAACAACGATCATGTTGTGTTGTTGTTGCAATAAATTTAGAAGCATAGAAAACAAGTAGACAAAATAAGTGAATTTTTCTAAAACAAATGATTGTTATATATATATATATATATATATGTATATATATATCCCTTCAAAGCATATAGGAATAAATTTAATTAGTCATGCCCTCCATATAAAATTTAAAAATTCATATTTCAAAACCTAAAATTTTAAAAAACTGTAAAGTTTAAAACATAAAATAATTCCTTCTTTCTTTTCAAAAAAAACAAAAATTAAAATACTGAAATTTCCCTCCTTCTTTCGCCTTACGTAAATTAGAAATACTCAATTTTCCCTCATCTTTCTCTTTCATAAAATTGAAAGAACCAACTTTCCTTCTCTTTCATAAAATTGAAGAACCAAATTTAAAATTTCCATCTTCCTTCAATCGTTCCACAAAAAGTTAAAAACTCAAAATTTCTCTCCTTATTTCTCCTACATAATCAAAAGAACCAAACTTGGCCACTTCTTTTTCTTCCCACAAATCAAAACTAGCAAAATTACCCTTTGTTTCCTTTCTCAAAAATTCAAAGAATCAAATTCGCCTTTTCTTTCTTCTTTCTCTTTCCAAAAATTTGAATACACCAAAATTTCTCTCTTCTTTTAAAAGTATCAAATTACCAAATACATTACTTTACTTTATTGTAATTGAATTTATATTTATTGAATAGTTAAATTCATCAAAATTTTAATTTATAT